ACCTGGCCCATCTCCACCCAACCCGTCTCCACCTGTCCAGTCTCCACCTGGCCCATCTCCACCCAACCCGTCTCCACCTGTCCAGTATCCACCTGTCCAGTCTCCATCCAACCCGTCTCCATCTGTCCAGTCTCCACCTGGCCCATCTCCACCCAACGCGTCTCCACCTGTCCAGTCTGCAGCTGGCCCATCTGCAGCTGGCCCATCTGCAGCTGGACCATCTGCACCTGGCCCATCTGCAGCTGGACCATCTGCAGCTGGACCATCTGCAGCTGGACCATCTGCAGCTGGACCATCTGCAGCTGGACCATCTGCAGCTGACCTGGAACACACTGAGCAGCCACAGACTGAAGCTTCCCCACCACCACCTAATAAAGTCTACGATATCTTTACCAAGAAAAGGAAATGGAGGGAAGCTTTTAAAGTCATGGACACATCTAGTGAGTACTGTATACCGTTTTATTCTTCTGACGTTATGTGGCAGTTAGCCTATGTAACCCAAGCTCCGGGGGGCTCCCTACATAGTTCGGGGGCCGGCTGGATGTTGGGCGGCCGGCAAAAGCGATTTAATCAGGCTATGTGGCAGTGCACACGTGAAACCACGCTGGATTGCATTACATGTAATCTAGTGTCATGCTTCTTCAAGTTTTATAAATTACCTCACAAACTAACAGAATTCTTTATAATGTTGGCTGTCATAAACCACTTGGTTGTGAATAATTTGTTACAATTAGCAAGCTTGTTTCCCCACAGAATAATGCATTTCTTCACTTAACACCAGCTTAGGGTAGTCATTGTTGGCAACTTATTTCAGGACCACATTGACCTACTTCAAGTTCAAAGTTAACAAGAAAAATAAGGGTATTTTTTTGTAATGAAATTTGAGAATATATCACTTCGTGTAATGAATGAATTCATTGTACAACCTGAAGAAAATACCTCTACATTTATTAGTATTTGATGGTTGTGAAGACAGTGAAGGTTAAAGGCCTCGGCATAAGACAAGTAGAGTTCAGTGCGATGGAAGGAGGCAGCTTGAGAAAACTGTTGGAGGGGAACAAGGGGCCAGTATTAAACCGACCTGAGCAGTGACCAGTCACAACTTCAAGTTTATCTACTAGGATCTGTTTCTAATGAGTTGTTTCTTACACTTACAGAGGCCAGAAGTGAGAATGAAAAACAATACTTGGAACTGTGGAATAAGATCGGTCAGGAGGACTCGAGCCAGCTGATGTCAAAACAAGAAATGCAGAAAACAGTGAACAAGAGATGGGCTAAGCAACAAGCGATAGCAGCCGCAAATGTCGCCACGCCTTCTGCACCACAACCTCCACCTTTAACTCCTCTCCTGGACCTTGTACCCCAGTTGAAGAGTCAGCTGAAAGCAGGAAAGGAGGGAAAGGTGGAGGCACTGCTTCAAAAATGCAGTGCAGGTAACATGAAACAAGTAGTTGACAACATCCGTAAAAACTACGTGAAAGACGGTGCTTCGTACCACTCAGTGAAACTAGAGATCCAGAAAATGCTGAGACTAAAAAAAAACTGACTCCAGTTTGGGCATTTCAGTTGTCTACTTCACTGTTTTGGAAATCTGAAGCTGTGTGGTTCAGAAGACGTGGCTGCATTTGCTTCATTCCATCTCTTGTTCTGAGCCAAAAAGATTATTTCTGCCCCAACACCATATCCATTCTTGCACCAAAAGTTTGGAACCATGGGTTAGTTTGGTCGTCATAAGAATGAATTGGTGTAGCTGTGACTTATAGGCAGAGTGTAGCACATAAGCAATTCTTCTGGTAAGTATACTAGTTCTGTATCCCTAAAAAGTAATTGTGTTGGCACCTATCAATCTGTAACTCATTGTTACAAATTTGATTGATTTGCTCTCAATTAAAATGTGTTCTATATATAACACAAGCCTCTACTCTTGAGCCTCTACTCTTGAGTATGCCTTTAACAGGTTGAAATAACAGTTCAGAGATTTCATACCACCATAAGATATTTAGTACTTTTGAGAATACTGCTTTGAAGTGAAAAGGCTAGTAATAGTTGTAGGTTACATACATGTAGGGAAAAACACTACAGCATGCCTAGTGCCCCATGAAATATGTAGATGATTGTTATTACCCTCATATGAAGATCTATAATGTTTGAATATAGTCTGGAGAAACATGAGAAAATCGATAACTGCAAGTAGTAACTCATGTTGTCATTATTTGAAGACAGACTTCTTTGCAACAATTGTATCTAATCTCTGTAATATCACATCTGACTCTAGTATCCACTATACAAAGTATACCTCTAACGCTTTAAATCACACAATTCAGCCTAAGAGGCTGCCAAGTGATGGCGCTGTATTTGTACATAATTGTGACTTGTGTTTTGAAATAAACCATTAAAAC